ATTTATTTTCTTTTTTTGTATTATTAATTATTTTACAGTATGCTTGTCAATTATGTCTTCCTACAACTGTAAAAACATTATTAGAAGAAGGAAAAGCAAATGTGCAAGCCCGAGCCTCAACTAATGGTTGGGTTGCAATGCACGAAGTTGCAAGTAGAGGTTATCTTGATATTATGAAGGTACTTTTAACAAACTGTTTGAATATTGTTTTATATATATATAACATTATTTTATATGCAGGTGTCCCACATAAATTTTTAACCCTCTGAGGAGGAATGGTTTGCTGCATTTAAAAAGCTGGCTCAACATCTAAATTTTCTGTTGTTATTGTTGCCTCTTTAATAATGTTTTCAAATTTTTCTTTCAAGCAATAATGTTTAAAATTTTTTTTAGTGTTGTCTAAAATAGAGGTTTCCTAAAAAATATTTGTGATTATAGTTTGCATAATTTTACTTGCTAAATTAACTCAATTTAAAATATTATATCAGTTCTGTGCACATGCAAATTAAAAATTACTTATATTTTTAGCCACTGATTTCACTTCATGTTGAATAAAAAATTTAATATTGAAGTTTGGCATATTGTGAATAAATTATAATTATTTGAATCATATACAGTAATACCCCAAACTTATGCGATAAGTGAGATTGAGCGATAACTGCGTAAGTCAAATTCATGTAAGTCGGGGTATAATTTCGCATATAAATACATACAAATAATTTTTATTTGGGGCCGTAGACTAAAAACAATAATTTAGAAAAAAAAATGTTTAATAAAATCTTAGATAATACATATGTATAACAAATATTATTATACAATTTTTCACATTTACTTGATTATCACACCATAATTTTAACATTGTTTCCATCTCAGGGATAATACTATGACGTTTACGAATGATGCTTGAATTTAAAGATTGAGCATTTTTTACAGCTTCGAGAATTTTTTCTTTACCTTTTATAATTGTTCTGACCGTCAATTCCGATAGATCAAACTTCTTTGCCAATTCACAAATTTTCATTTTTGTATCAAAATCTTTAATAATGTTAAAATTACATTCTAAAGATAAAGTTTTTCTTTTCTTGTTTGATGCAGAAGAATCAGTTCTACTTCATTTAGATGACATAGTAGAGTCTCTCAAGTCTCCGTAGATATAACAAACAAACACAGAAATAAATAACACAAAATAAATTATAGCTATATGTCAATTCTGCGTGACATGTCCGAACATGTAAGCCGAACAATAGTGTGGGAGGAGTGAGTAATCAAGAGTCGTGTGGTGCTCAAACAAAAGACAAATCGTCGAGATTTGAAAATCGTGTAACTTCGGGTTCACGTAAGTCGAGGTATTACTGTATACAAAATTCCAAATTATTAATTAATAATAAAATAAATATAGTAGCATTTAACAGTATTTTTAAATTGGTTGAAATGAAAAATCTTAAATATCTCAAAACAAGAAAAATTGAATTTACAGCTTTTACAAAAAAAAAATTACTTGACAGGTTATTGACATATATTGATGTCTGGAATATTGACATATTTTCAAAACTGTTTAAATAAAATGGGAAAAATCCAATTCTAATACTTGGAACATACAATGAAAAAATGTGGGTGTCAAGAACTCTTATTTAATATCTTCTCTTGCCTTCATTCCATCAATCATATCAAAATGCACCTTTGGTCTGTCTTGATGCTCTAGATCCTCCTGTGTTTTCTATTGTCTGGTCATTTTGTTGCTTTTCCAACAGGTTTATTTCAAATGTAGGTCCTATTTAAGAGGATCTCTGCCATTGTATTCCAGTTAAATTGTATGGAGGTGAGGTGTCATCTTACATAAACAAACTGATAATCTATTGTTTTGTTTACTCCATAGCTCTTCCAACTAATATGTGAATGTCTTCATGTCAAATTTTATTTTTATATTAACATTTATATATTAATATAAAAATATTTATATCTTATATTAATATATAAATTATATTTTATAGAATTACATTTTGGAACAATGCTGCCTCAAGCATATTCTGGATTTTCTGATGCCTAGTATCAGCCCTGCTTGCTTCATCGTAACTCTAGACATAGGCATACAAATTAGGGTCTGGGGACAAATGCCTCCGACTGCAAGAACAAAAATAAATCAGATAAAGAAAGCAAAAAGGTTAAAAACTTATAAGTGATGGCAAATTAAAAATTGGAACTTGTGTTCTTTTTGTAAAATTTGTGTAAACTTTTTGGAAAATCCCCTTTCCTCTTCTGAACTAAATTATCTTCACATGCTTAAGATTATAGATAATTCTTATTGCTAGTGCAAATTGTTATTTTATCATTTGTCAATATTTGTATAAAGTATTCATTACATACATATGTGAAAATAGCAGGAAACTATCATATGTACAAAATGTTTAGAAAAATAATTAATAGTTCTGATTTTAATGGCTAATGATGTTATACCAAAAATTGATAGATATGAATATACAGTAAGTATCAGGTGGCATTGAAAATGCACAAGATAAAATTTACACACAAGACAGTTATTATTACATACATGCTCATCATTAGTATTATTTGAATAAGAACCAATCAGTAATTGTAATTAAGATAAGGTCACACTGAATAAGACATGGCCAGTTTGAGTTTAACATGGACATTTCAGGTCAAGTTTACAGATAGACAGGCAGACAACAGTGAGAATTTATAGGTCTAGTAGGTCTTATAGAAAATTTAATCTATATATATAACCCATTCAACAGGTGTCCGTCCTTCCTTCCATCCGTCCGTCCCGTAACCGTTTGATAACCGACACTAGAGGCGCCCCTATCATGTGTCATATTTCAAACATCCAAATTAACAATTTTAATTCTTATTTATGTCTGTATTTTTAGTGTATGGGTAGTAGTTTTTTAAGAATTGTCCCATATCTATATATATATAACCCATTCAACAGGTGTCCGTCCTTTCTTCCTTCCGTCCGTCCGTCCGTCCCATAACCGTTTGATAACCAACACTAGAGGCGCCCCTATCGTGTGTCATATTTCAAACATTCAAATTAAATTAACAATTTTAATTATTATTTAAATTAACAATATAAATTATTATTATTCATTTGGCCAATAAATTATTATTTGGTCAATATAACAATATAAATAATTCAGTATATTTGTAATAGGAATTTATTATTGTCACGGAATGCCTGTAATGTTCACTAGGGGGCGAATAACGAAAAACCGGATAGATTTGAACCGCTACGATAAAACGATAAGTGAAATAGTTAAGCTAATATTTTAATATAATAATAGAAACCTTTCATGGCACGACCAAAGAAATACGCCACTGTGGGGGAACGTAAAGCTGCCACTGCTGCGAGACAAAGGGAGAGACGTGCGCAGGAAACATTACAGAGAATAGCACAATCAACACGTGGAGGCTTGCAGAATGAAACTCATGAGCTCAGATCTGCAATGTTGCACAGGCAGGCAGAAGCAAAACGACACAGAAGACAAAATGTCACAACAAGGCAAATTGATTCCAAATAATTATACTTTTTTTACCAACAATGTTGTGTATACAGAAGTTTTATGATGGGATAAATGATGGAATACAGAACACAGCTAAAGAATATCTTCAGTCTGTAATACAGAAATACTATTTGCTGTGTATTGATCTGTTAACATTACTTTTTAACATGAACATTTGTATATATTTATACTTGATTTTTTAATCATATTAATTCTATTTATTTGAACAATTTTGAGTAAAGAATAGATTCACTTTTTCATGTACAAATACTGTTGGCTGTTTGTGTATTGATATTTTAAGTTTAGTTTCTAAGATGAAGAATTGTATACATTTATATATATTAACTGCATCAAACTTTTAAACATTAAGCGCACACAATTTTCATATATTAAGTGCATTAAACATGCCTCAGGAATTTGTAATGCTGCTGGAACGCCCACTAGGGGGCGTCCCGGGCTACTAGTATTTTATATTACACCAAACAATTACCATAATTAATGCAATAAATTTTTATCAAACTACAAATATAATACATATCAAAGAAATTTATTTATTTGATAGTTTTTAATGTAAAATAAAAATTTTATCATAGATAACTGAAAGATAATATGCAGTGAGAACTTCCATATTGATAACTTTAAGTAAGAAGTATCTTTTCAATGGATTTAATGATATTGACATTATTATTACTATTATTAGTAAATATATCTTTGCAAGATTATTGTTTTAAATAAAACAAAAATATATTTTATAAAAAAAATTACAGCTTAATTACTGTAATAACAATTTATTATATTTTATTTTTATATGTATTTATGTTTACAACATAATAATAATCAATAATTAAATAACATTTTAATTCTGATTGTTATTTCAAAAAGTGTTAGAATTGTTTCACTTAAAAACTTTGTAGTGCCTACTTAGTAACAATCATATAATATTTATACTATACTTCACAATATATTGGGAGTATATTGACACATTTTTGGTCAATACACTCCCAATATACAGGGGGGTTGCAAAAGTAGGTATACAGTTGAGAATCTGAGAAATACAAATGTTTGGTGTTTATTATTATTTTTTTTATTATCTTTTATTAGTTTATATTCCTTGTTTGTGATTTTAAATTGTATGTAAAAATAAATGTTTTTCGTTCTATTTTCTCCCTGTATGTTTTTTTCCATAACACATAATAACAATTGTATTATGTGCTGCACTCCCCTGTATTGTGAGTATATATTGGGTGATGCATTTTCATAAAATGAAATTAATTTTAAACAATTAACTCAAAAAATTTTTTATTTTTTTCCCCCTTCTCTTTTTCTGGACACTCATATACAGCTCAGAGCCTGTGTGTTTTGCACCTGTTGCATTCCCTTGTGACTGGTCCTGATAACAATGATAAAATTATTTTGCTCCTCACCCTCTTTTTAGAAGGACAGGGCTACTTTGAAATCTAAAAAGGAATCATAATTCTTTAATTATATGAATATATAACAAGTTTTGAGTACTTTCAAGCCTCCTGGCTCATCATTAGGTATGTTCATATATTTTGCAATGAGCATACATCAAATTTTGAATATTAAAAATTTTTTCAAATTTATGTTTATTCTGAAGTATCATGAATTCCAAATTCTCAAGCAGACAAACTTTGCAACTAGTGCACTAATGCTACCTTTTAGGCTGAGCATATTGTAAATAATAAGATCATTTTTTAAAAAAGCAAAATATTTTTTCTAGTACTAATAGTACCTCTCATTTGATAAGCCAAGAAACAAGAAGGATGGAAGAAAAGTGAATGAGAGGCCAGGAGTTTATATGGTTCTGATGGAGGAGAGAGGAGAAAAAAACATTTTTTGAAAGAAGAAGATTAGGATCACATTGAGGTATTTCATAGAAGACTATAAAAGAGGTAACAACTGCACTAGTTGTCTTCGTAAATGCATAACTAGTGTTAAGGAAAAAGATTAATATTAAATGGAAGGATATGAAGTTAATAAAAGAAGACAAGAACAACTTATGAATGCAAATTCATAAGTTGGAAGAAGGATTTTGACTATGTTGACTATGGATTTGGAAGAAGGATTTTGACTATGTGGTTATAATGGAAAGACATTGCCAACGACATGGAAGAGAGTTATAGAAAAATAATTTTTAGTTTATTTTTTTTAGTGTTATTAGCTGGTTATTGAAATAATAATAAATTTAAAAAATAGCAATAGTAAAATTTTACATTAATTAGGCATTTAATAATGTATTATTAATAGTATTTGGAAAATTTACTTTTATAAAAAATAGATCATTATTTATGAATGATTTAATCAGTTGGCTCTAATTGCAAAGTTTATCTGTATGAGAATTTGGAGTTCATAACAGATTTTAGAATAGATTTAAGTTTAAAAGCTGTGTGTTCTAAATTTTATGTTTTTGTATCTTGTGGGAGTAGTTACCTATGATGATGATCCAGGAAGCTCAAAAGTAATCAGGACTTGTTATATGTTAATAGTGTTAATTTATTTTATGTTATTTCTTTAATAAAACAGGTTTTGATTACTTTTAAGAAGTTATAAGAATTATAATTTTGCTAAATAAATAAATTGTTGTTTTATTATTACCTTCCTTAATTCAAAATGGATTATGAAGGTAAGAAACAACAACTTGAAAATACTTAATAAATCAAAGTTTAAAGCTTATTGAGACAAACTATTGTTTTTCAAAAATAATTACTATGAAACAATTTTTCAAGCAGATGTTTAATGGTATGAACAGTAAATATAAAACAAGAATAATGCATTACATATTTGGCATATAAGTTTATTACTCTTATGAAGATGAAAGTATTATTTAACATTCAATAGATGATTAGTGATAGTTTTCTAGTTGGGGAGTGTTTTAATTTTAAAGATAAAAAGTTATAAAACTACAGTTTAACTGTTTTTACTTGGTCTGTTTTTATCATATTAAATCTAGTTTTCAAATAACATTTTCAAAAAATTGTATAAGCTTGGAATTATGTAAGAAAATGGGTACATATTTGGTAATATTTTGTGTATTGTTCATTGTAATTTAAAAGAAAATATAGCAAAAAGTCAATTTTGCTCTTTTAATTAGTTTTTATAAAAAGTGTCATCATATTTATTAATTTTATTTACATTATAAATAAATATTAAATATAAATAAAAGTAATATTTATTTTAAATATTATTTAAAAATTTTTTCAGATACTATTAACATATCATGCTCCTTGTCATCCTCGTTCAGATGCTGATGAAACACCATATGATCTTGCTGAAAGAAATGGTCATATTAATTGTACTGATTATTTAGGTATTTAAATTAACATTTCTTTTCTTGATTTTATTCAAAATATTAAATTATCAAAACTTAAATAATATATGCATGATGATGATAAATTTGTGGTGCCTACTTTTTAATAATAATAGCATATAACAACATAGGATTTTAACATGATTTGATCACTTAAGACTCCATAATAATATTGAATAATAAAACTTCGTTTTATTTGGTTTTTTAAATTAAATATTGATTGATTTACAGGTTGAAAAAATAGTTGTTCATTCATTGGTAATGGTAGGAAATAAAAACTTTTTATTGATAAGCAATCTGCTATTAATATACCAATTTTAAAGTATTTAGTAACGTTATCAATAACTAAAAACACTTACTTTGAAATTTTTTTATTACTTTTGTTTTACATTTAGTTTAAAATTTAGAATATTTGCAAGTCAGTAAGTTATGGAACATTTTAAAATGCCATTGCCATAGAAGTTTAGATCAGTGTTTTTCAACCTGTGGTTCGCGACTCCCAGGGGGGTTGCAAAGTTTTACACGGGGGTCGCGTGTAAAAGAAAAAGATAAGTGTTTGTAGGTCCTACACTACAATAAAAAAAAACTACAATTTCAGTGAGAAGGCTGTGCCTGTTTACTTTACAGTACAATTGGTTTTTTGATCAATATCTAGGTCTGAACAGAAAGAAAATTAAATACGTAGTTTTCAAAATCACTGATATAGTTTTAATATGGCCCTGGGGGGTCTCCAGAATTTTTTAACTTGTAAAGGGGTCACGTATTCAATAAGGTTGAAAAACACTGGTTTAGATTATCTAGAATTGTATAAAGCTAATTTAAAAGTTGAATTTGTATAAGTTTTAATATATAATATGTAAAACCTAATTTTTGTCACGTAAATTTATGATTATCAAGAAAATTCATCGTTTTCAATTGTAAATCAAGGTTGTGTCAATGAATATATTAAGATTAATATATAAGCTGGTGAAATTTGATACTTCTACTGTAAAACTATTTAAAAAAAATGCTGTCTTTAGTAATTTTCAAGTATAGTTATGTAATATGTCATTATATAAAATTATACATACTATAAAATTTGTAAGATAAAGTTTATGAAATTTCTTTGATTAAAAATATTTTCTAAAATATTTTAATTTTCTAAAATATAAATAAATTTCATATTTTAATTTAAAAAATCTTATTTTTATTAGATAATTATTTTCCTGTAATACCAAAAACTTCAAGATCTGAATGGTTTCACGAGGGATTAGATAGAGAAGTATGATTTCTTAAAATTAATATTGCAATATTGTAATTAATGAAATTTTTAATGAAAATATACTTATAAAATATAATTTCATTATATTTTTAAGTATGTTTTTGCATTCTGCCTAAAATATTGCTATAAAATATTTAAGTTAAGTAACTGCTAATGTACTGTATATAAATATCATTCACAAAACCAAAAATTTAGCTTGTAGATCAAAATGATGATTTATGAACTGGAACATTTTTCTTTTTATATTTTAAACTAGCTGGGATACCTGGCTTCGCTCAGGGAGTTGATATGAGATTGTGTGGTAGTTGGAATAAAAGGATAAACTTTAAAATATAAGAGGTAAAAAAATTTTATTGAAAACATATTCTAACTATTTACAATACTTGTTTATAAACAACATTTTGCTCAAAAACTTTTACAAATAGGCGAAGGCACATATCCCACTGACCAGACAACCGACCTCATTGAACTCAACAGTGATTTTTGCAACATAGCCACTACTGAAAACGAACTCATCGACCAAATTTATCCAAACATTGTTCACAACTATACCAATCCGTAGTGGCTATTTCAAGGGGCAATTTTGGCAACTAAAAATAATATTGTCGACGACGATATCAACTTTAATATTCAAAAGAAAATTCAGAACTGGCAAGAGCTCCTCCTTTTTTAAGTTTGGGCATTGTATAAAATATAAATCAAATCAACTTTTTATTAACAAATACACTAAGTACACTTTACACAGTTTTCACACTTTATTTTCGATTTATATTCAGTCACTGTATCACTTTGACTACTCATACTTCACTGTTTGTTTTTATTCACTCACTGCACTACTTTGTAATTTTCACTTCTTTTTTGGTTCTTCCCTTCGTCACTGATAAGAAACTGACGTTCGAACCCATGACAGATCTTCCTTTATACACCCCCACCAATGGGTAGTCCCACCCATACAAAAAAGGCTTCGAATGGTCCACAATGTTCCGGAACATTCCACAACATTCTATAGTGTTCTGGAATGTTCCACAATGATCTGAGATGTTCCCGAACATTCCAGAACATCCAGAACATTCTGGAATGTTGTGGAATGCTCTCAAATACTCTCTAATGTTCTGGACTGTTCTAGAAATTTCTAGAGGGCAAAACTTCCAGCCCTTACATCTTCAACAGCATGCCCTTCAGGTAAAAACAGGAGCCTTTTTCATGGATGGGGATAGAGGGCTACCACACCATATAACTCTCTTGATCGTACCAGGACTCGTTTTTGAGTTTTAGCAGCATGCACATTGTACACTTACCTTTATAATATATATTGATTATAACATTTCATTCTCCTGCTCTGTTTCTATATTTGTTCTTTTAACCTGTAGTGGTTGCTCAAGACAATTAAAAACATTTGTTTTCCTTCAACTTTTTGATCTACAAGCTGGATTTTTGATTTTTTTAATGATATTTATACTTTTCATTCAGTGTACGGTATGTTTATTACTTAATAATGTATGTGTAATCATAATGAAAATTAAGTGTAAAAAGAATAGATTCATATGGCAGTTAACATATATACTTTAAATTATGATTTAATTATAGTTTACTATCATTTTCACTAAGAAAATCAGAATAAAACATGATATTAACTACTGTCATACTGATCTGGCAGTAGAATGTTAATAGTTCTAGTTTGCCAGATCATGCATTCAAATCTTGCTTATGGCTTTGATGTTTGTTATAGTCATATTTTAATACAAATATAAACATGTTTAACCTGTTCATTTTAAATTTAATGCCAAATGATTGCTGGATTGTATCAGGCTATATTACTGCTACTATTAATAATTAAAAGATAATTACATTTAATTATTAATAATAGTATTAATATAGCCTGATATAATCTGGCAGTCATTTGATATTAATCATGTTTTAATGGGGCTTGTTGTTTGAGATGGCATTACATTAAAAAAAATAATAATAAAATAAATCTCTCAAATAAGGTACTATGAAAATTCTGTTTCAATTGATGCTTTTGTCAAAGTTTACAAATGGAAATAGTTAAACTAGCCTTTTTATTCTCCTTTTTTTCAATCCTTAATAAAATAAATGTTTTATTTACATATCTTTGCACAAATTTGTTTAATTATATTTTACAGAAACATTTGCAAAGGTTAAAGAATTTCTTTGAAATAATTGAAGAAAGTAATTCTTAGTAGAGAAGTATTTAACAAAACAATATAAAGTGATATCTTTCAAGAGGAAGTAATTCTATTTCAATGACACATTGAAAGTAGATGGGAATAACATTAATAATCTTTTTAAATTATTTCAAAATATTTATGCATTATTAGGTTTTATGTCACTAAATTACTGGTATTTTGGTAAAGATATGCTGTAAATAATGATGACACAATGGCTGATTTTACCATTAGTTGTTCACCATTATTTAGATCATATGTTCTTAATAATTAAATTGTTTTATTAATATACTATTGTGGCTACACGCCTGTTTTTCTTTTATTAATATTGTTATTATTATTATTAGTCCGTATAGTTTTANGGGGATAGAGGGCTACCACACCATATAACTCTCTTGATCGTACCAGGACTCGTTTTTGAGTTTTAGCAGCATGCACATTGTACACTTACCTTTATAATATATATTGATTATAACATTTCATTCTCCTGCTCTGTTTCTATATTTGTTCTTTTAACCTGTAGTGGTTGCTCAAGACAATTAAAAACATTTGTTTTCCTTCAACTTTTTGATCTACAAGCTGGATTTTTGATTTTTTTAATGATATTTATACTTTTCATTCAGTGTACGGTATGTTTATTACTTAATAATGTATGTGTAATCATAATGAAAATTAAGTGTAAAAAGAATAGATTCATATGGCAGTTAACATATATACTTTAAATTATGATTTAATTATAGTTTACTATCATTTTCACTAAGAAAATCAGAATAAAACATTATATTAACTACTGTCATACTGATCTGGCAGTAGAATGTTAATAGTTCTAGTTTGCCAGATCATGCATTCAAATCTTGCTTATGGCTTTGATGTTTGTTATAGTCATATTTTAATACAAATATAAACATGTTTAACCTGTTCATTTTAAATTTAATGCCAAATGATTGCTGGATTGTATCAGGCTATATTACTGCTACTATTAATAATTAAAAGATAATTACATTTAATTATTAATAATAGTATTAATATAGCCTGATATAATCTGGCAGTCATTTGATATTAATCATGTTTTAATGGGGCTTGTTGTTTGAGATGGCATTACATTAAAAAAAATAATAATAAAATAAATCTCTCAAATAAGGTACTATGAAAATTCCGTTTCAATTGATGCTTTTGTCAAAGTTTACAAATGGAAATAGTTAAACTAGCCTTTTTATTCTCCTTTTTTTCAATCCTTAATAAAATAAATGTTTTATTTACATATCTTTGCACAAATTTGTTTAATTATATTTTACAGAAACATTTGCAAAGGTTAAAGAATTTCTTTGAAATAATTGAAGAAAGTAATTCTTAGTAGAGAAGTATTTAACAAAACAATATAAAGTGATATCTTTCAAGAGGAAGTAATTCTATTTCAATGACACATTGAAAGTAGATGGGAATAACATTAATAATCTTTTTAAATTATTTCAAAATATTTATGCATTATTAGGTTTTATGTCACTAAATTACTGGTATTTTGGTAAAGATATGCTGTAAATAATGATGACACAATGGCTGATTTTACCATTAGTTGTTCACCATTATTTAGATCATATGTTCTTAATAATTAAATTGTTTTATTAATATACTATTGTGGCTACACGCCTGTTTTTCTTTTATTAATATTGTTATTATTATTATTAGTCCGTATAGTTTTAGTTTAATTTAAACTCTAGAACTTTCCTTCCTTCCGATTTCTTTGTTCCTTTGTCTCGGATTTCCAAGAATTCGCCTCACCCCTGACCCATCAGGGGGTAGCCTTAGACAAAAGACGAAAACGGGTCTGCGAGCGAGGAAAACAAAGGGTTTTTAGGCACTCTTAGGCCGGACTCGGAGAGAGAGAGACGTGTGGCAGAAGGCTCTGGAACAAAAGGTCGGAGGAGCGCTGCAGAAAGAGGCCGTAAGAAGCGCATTGATAGAAGAATTTAGTCGACGATTATAAGACAACGCCGAAACGGACCGAAACGGTTCTAAAAGGAAGAACAGCCGAGACGAGGAACTGTAGAGAACTACCAGGAAATTCGGGTACCCTCTGTCCTTTAATTCATCTTATTTCCCCTTTCTATCTTTTCTATCTCCTAGTTTATTTTAGTTTTAAGTTAGTTTAAGTTTCCGCGCGCAACTACTTTTGTCAAGAGATAGTTATCGGAAAAGTAACTACCAGTATATTGGTATATCCGGTCGCTCGGGATTTTGGAACGTTTGTAAGTAACAGCGGGAATCCGAACTCATTTTGTAAATATATTAATGTTAGCGCGAAATTAAACTTGTTTCATTGGAAAAACGTGTCTGTGTTTTCCTGTCCGCGCTATACATCTTCACATTGGCGTCCGCGACAGGATTCCCGTCTTGTTAGCCTAACTCGGTGCATAACGGTATTAATATCGACTGTTAATTGTAAGATGGAGGATAAAGGTACTCCAGATATGAGTTCTATGGCGGGAGGCCATGTTGTGAATTACCCACTCGTGGTTACTGGGTTTTTAGGGATGATCCCCTCCTTCTCGAATTCACCTAACGATACGGTAAACATAAAGCAATTTTTTATGACCANGTATTTTCACAGAATGACCAGCATGCTGGTCTATCCCAAGGGAATGCCTGCATGCCAGTTTTAGTGAGGTTATACATCCCTGTCTAGAGGGTGCATTATAAAAAAACGGACAAATTTTTATTCTAAAACTGCAAAACCGTCAGCTTTATTAAAAACTATGAGTATGTGTAATTTCTTCATTTTATCTTCTTTTTAACGACTTAAAATAAGTAAGGAATTCCCAAAGTGTTTTTTTTTTGTGTGTATTTAATTCTTGTTTGATTAAAAAATGTAAAAATAAGCATATTAAATTTAAGAAACTCTTGTAAATTTTCTGGGCTTACACCTATTAAGATCAGCTTTCTGTGAAATTTTAAAGGAAGGTGTTACTTTTAAGGTCAGGGTAGATGGATAGTGTAGCCCACACTAACTGCTGCTGCTGATAATAAGTCGTTAATTGTTTTATTGTCTTATAAACAAAACTCTCTTGTGATTTTAAGTCAGTCAAATTACAATGTTATTTTTTATTGTACTTGAAAGAATGTTTTCTTTCACATCTAATAAACAACTATAGTAGTTTTGTTAGATCTGATTAATTGTATATTTTAGTATAGTTTATTTATTAACCCTTGGGTTACCAGCATGCTGGTTTCCCATTTATAAGCAGCATGCTGGTCATTCCACAATTGGCTAAAAACCTTCCTCATTATTCTAATTTTTTCATAACATTTTTACAGACTATATATTTATCAACATATATATATATATATATAATTAAGTACTTTACCTCAAATATCTTCTTTTGTGATTTATGCTGCTAGATTATACAGTAACTAAATATGATATCCATATTTCTCTGCCTTTCAAAATAGATATCTATTGATAGAATTATATTTATATAATTAAAAAACAATTATAAACTACAATGTAATATTATTTAATTAAATATATTTTTGTCTTTTCTGAATCTATTAGTAAACATAATACAATAATAATGCATTAAAACAAATTTTTGTTTTCTTAAATATATGAAATATATTTGGGTTATTGATTAATAATTGTAACTGAATGGTGGCTGAATGGTATAACAGTAAAACAGTTCTCATGCATCTCTGATAATTATGATAAATGATTTTAAGAATAATTAAATATTTAAATCTTTTAAGTAATATTGATTTGTATTTTTATCAGAAAGCTAAACCTGTTTTACTAATCTTTAGATTTTAAAATCAAATTTCTTCTTTTTTTACATCAGCCAATTAAAATAATTAACTAGATATATTTGCATTATTAAATGTGTTAAAAGTACAGTAATCTGCTCATATTATTTTTGTAATAATGTATAAGTTAATTATTTTATAAATTGTAATTTTAATTATTATCCACTATTTATTAGCTCAAATTTAAGATTTCTATAACAATTTGCAAATTGTTATAGAAATCTAAGTTATTGACTTTTATAAACTTTTCTTGGTTGTTTTTTACATTATAATTGTTGTACATGTGATTTGAACTTAAAATGATATAATCTGATATATGCAATATTTCTGATGTATTTGTTAAAATATGAATTGAAATCTATATGCAGTTTTTTTTTATAATAATGAATTATATTTATAAATTTAACATTTTAAATTTTTGTAAAATCACAAGTGAACTGAAATTTCAACATTAAGGAATAATCAATGTTTAATTATATATACTACTAGTTTTTGTTTATTCAAATAGCAAATATACTGTATAAAATTTAACTAACGTAGATATCTTTACTTTTTTTAACTCTTCTGCTTAATTTTATTTGAAATTAAATTTTTTTTTAATTTTAGAAAGCTACAAAACTATTACAAAAGGCTGGAATGCAAGATGGACTCTTTTTAGTAAGAAAAAGCACAAGAAAAATTGGCGTTCATGTACTGTCAATGGTTTTCAATTCTCATATATACAATTTTGAGATTAACAAAAAGGTATTTATTTTACAAATTATATTTAAATTCTAGCAGAAGAGGACTTTAAAATTATTTATATTGTAAATAATTACTTTTACCTTTACTTTTTTTAACTCTTCTGCTTAATTTTATTTGAAATTAAATTTTTTTTTAATTTTAGAAAGCTACAAAACTATTACAAAAGGCTGGAATGCAAGATGGACTCTTTTTAGTAAGAAAAAGCACAAGAAAAATTGGCGTTCATGTACTGTCAATGGTTTTCAATTCTCATATATACAATTTTGAGATTAACAAAAAGGTATTTATTTTACAAATTATATTTAAATTCTAGCAGAAGAGGACTTTAAAATTATTTATATTGTAAATAATTACTTTTACCTTCTGCTTTATTAATACAAAAAAATAACTTAATATCAAAATACTGTCTTAATTTTATGGGCATTTTAATACATAATTTGCTTATTGAAAATTATTACTAATGCAAATATATAAATTTGCATTAAAAATTATTTTATGAAAATTGTATAAAACTTAATAATTAAAATATGTTTTTAATTGTAAAGAGTTTTAAATTAATTTTATTATGTAACATGTTTTACAGCAAATGTCAATTCACTTTGCAAAAGACAGTACTTTGTTTTATTATAAATAGTCCTATTCTTAATTTTAAAATAAATTCAAAATTTATCAAATAAATCTTCTTTTTGTAACATCTTAGATTTGGATGTTAATTTTTTCACAAAATGGAAAAATAAAAATTGAATTCTTTATAAAAAATTTTAGTAATTATGATTCATAACAGAATTGTTTTAAATAATCTGTATTTTTTTTTTTGAGTTCTTTTCNTTAAATACAGTATTAAAATATTAAGAAATTATGTTCAAATCTTAGCTAGCCATCATATTGTTTTTCCTCTGGCTGGATTTCAAGATATTAAAAGATATCGTTATTGGGATTCTGTTTCTAAAGGACTTGATCTTAAAGGAATGAAAGAAGATTTACAAGTATATATAATTTTCTAAAATTAATTCAAAATCTAGACTGATAATGTTTTTATTTCTAGACATTAACCATGTTTGATTCTTATGAACAGAATAAAAATGTCATGATATAGTTAATTGATTGTCAAATGTCAAACTATGTGACAATATCAGAAAAATCTGCTTTGAAAAATTGTAGTTATTTGGGACAGACATTCAATTGTTATAAAAGACAGTGTTGTAAACAATCATCACATTGACACTACAAAATGATCCCTGCAAAAAGTTGAACATCAGGGAAACTTTCATTATCTTAACTAGGTTAAATACAAGAATATTTGATCAAGTACAGTACTTTCCAAATTAATTCATTGATTAGTATAACAATTAAGATATTAGATGTTTGTGTGATGTTTAATATAATATATGGTAGAAGGAAATGATTTTATAGATCAGATAGCAACTGGAAATGAGATAAAGTAATAGTAATATAAATATCAGATTAATTTAATAATTAGGAAGTTCATAAAAATATAAGATTACATTTATACTATTTCCTAATAAAAATTGGCAAAAAGTTTTGTGTGTGTGTGTGGAAATGGTTCAATATAAATTTTGAAGAGCCAACAGAAAAAAACAGATTCAGGAATTTGATCAAAATTGTCATTTTGTTGCACAATGTGCACTATGAACATTTCAATAAATAAAAAAGGTTTCACCATCCATCCTATTATCTAAATTTGTTTATAAAGTTTTATTTTTAATTTCAAAACAAATTGAGTTTCTTGATTTTATATGAATGATGATAATTTATAAATCCTTTATATATTAATGGAAATTATGTTTTATAAATCATTGATTTTGTATGAACATACTAGAAATATCTATAAATTAAATTTTTATTTATTTTTATTTTTTCATTTGTTTCATCATTATAATTTGTTTTTCTTGTTTATTTTCAAATTGTAAATATAACAAAATCCTGTCTGCCTGTACATTTTTATTTTTTTTTATTTTCCTTATTTATGTTTAGGAAAAATTTTATTTCATAGATGATGGTCCTTATTTTGAAAGTTTAGAACATGTTTTGGATTATTATAGCAAATTAGCTGATGGTCTTCCTACTCAATTATCCATTCCTCTAAAATCAGGTAACACATGAAAATATAATTTCAGTTTGTTATTATTATTGTATTTATTGCTATATTGCATTCAAAAATTATTTTTCAGAAGTTTAATCAAAGTTCAATGTGCAATAACATTAAATCTGTTTTTTATGATTAATTTGGAGATAACAAAAGGAATTATATTATCTACATATTTAATGTTCTAAAGGAAGTTGATGTTTTTTTAGAATAAATAAATAATTATTTTTTATGATATGATTATTTTTAAACTAATGAATTCTATTTTACCTACATAAATTATTTAAAAAGAAATTAAATAAATTCTAATAAAGTAAGAAATTAGACTTAAGCAAAAAATCAAAATACANTTACATATTCTGTTAATTTCAAGTTTTATTTATATATTTTTATCACAGTTGTTGTGTTTCTTAAGCTTGTATTTCATTCTCTGCTGCAACACTGATGAAATAAGATGATTTGTAATAGTATTATAATTTTAATTAGAAGAAAATAATTATTATAATATGTACATTATATATGTATATTACAATTATGAATTTTCAGTTTATAATAAAATAGAATTACAAATACTGAATCAACTTTTTCTTTTATCTCATATAGATTCAATCCATACAAAAAAAGTTTAAATAATCCACAACACTAAACAGTTTGTTTAAAAGTTAAACAATGCTTAATTAACATATTTTCACTCATACACTTAAAAGTCCTTTCACTCATATAAGCTTGGGCTTCTTCAATTGATGTTGTTCTAAAATAAATCAGATTCAAATGCTTGAGTTTGATGGTTTAAATATTAATAACATAAAAAGTGTAAGACTTGATGCTTTAGCTGTAACTATTTAAACTATTTTGAACCTAAGCATTTGAATGTCAAATGTTGATATGAATCAACATAGTATCAAACATTGGTAGACTGATGCCAGCATTTTCCACTTTGTATAATGGAAAGAAGAATTAAGAAATTTTGAAGAAAACAATTTAAAAAAAAGTAGAATTAGTGAAATGAATCATGTATTGGAAATTTTGACAGATATGCTTGAAACTATAGATTGCATAATTGATGCAATGCTACCTGACTAGCTTGCAAGAGTACATTGAGGCCAGGTACTTTCTTAGATTTCTCTAAATTAATTAACTATTAATTTATAATTATTAAATTAGCATAAGATGATGCGAAATGCTTTTAGTACCAAATTATAATAATTAATCATTGCATAAAATAGTTATATAAATGTGGCTATTTCTGATTTTGTTCTTATTATGCAGATGAAAGTGTTGTTGCTATAAATGAATGATTATTAGATCAATTGATGATTATTTTAAACAATAATAGCCATGCATTATTGATTCAGATATTATCACTATGATATTGCATGCAAGTAAGCAGTACATAATGCATGATGCATAAACTTTAATAAACAATCATATTCAATATGAAATGATGATAAACTTCCATAATTGGACAATTTGCTATATAGTAGTGAACATTTAATAGCATGTAGGACTTATCATATATTCATAACTAAATTTGGAAATTGAGGTGCAAATATTTTTTAAAGTGCTAAAAGAGTGATGGATTTTTGTGAAAAATACTCCTAAAAACATGTAAAAGCAAAATTATCATTTTATTGCTCCTAAAAGAATACATAGAGCATTTAAAACTTGAGAAAATGATAGAAAATTCAAATCAGTTCTGATTTGACTTTTCTATTACTTTACTATTATTAACAGAATCTGATTTATTAGTTTTTCCTAGTTTACAAATAGAAAAGCATTGTACTTGCAAACACTGCTGTTCTACACTCTCCTTGGTCATCCACAGATGTCACAAGGAAAGTAAATCTTTGAACTGTGAAAACAATTTCCCAACATTAACAGATATGAGAAGAGTATATTTGGTTTTCACTAAAAATGCCAGGATATGTGACTGAAAAGACAGAGATTATATTTTGAATATCCAAATTTTTGCTCAGAATCTTCCAGTTTCTCTAAACCAATCAATCCAACTGGTTTTTGGCATGTTTAAAAATATGGCGCTGTTTCTAAGTAGATAGACTGCTTTCCTCTAGCCTATAAACTGAGCTGCACAGGAACTTTTGTGAATGAACAATGTAGCATTCCTTTAACACAGCTTCTTGTTTCAACAGACTTTTGAGTTTCATTGCAGTAGCCAAAAACTTTTCATCCAGTTTATTAAGGAATGCTCCCATGGATGGGAAATTTTCAGCATGAAAACAAGTTGCTTGAATTTGTGTGCCCCACTTGGTAATTACAGCATGTTTTGGAAATAGCAAGCCAGTTATCCTTTATACAGATGTACATTTGCAGAACATTTAATCAAAGCCTTTTTCATTTCTGAAAGGAAATTGTGGACAGAAGAAAATTCTTCCCTAATTGCTTCACATATCCTGTTAAGACAATGTGCAAGACAAGTGGTATATCTCAGAATTAGATACATTAGCTTTATATCTGAGCATGCACTTACCATTATGTATGATGCCTGGTCTGTTACAAGTCATCAAACTTTTACATACTGAACAACAGAGTTCCACAGTTTTGGCATATACATCATTGAAAACCTGCATAACAGTTGTGGAAATTGTTGTTGTTGTTGTTTTTTTTTTTTATAAACTGTTAACAGTATAGGTTGTACTGGCTCCCTTGTTAATAGATTGACAAGAACGTTCAACATGTATTTTCCAAATAATGCAAACATTGTCCACATATCTTTTGTAAAATGTAATTTCCATTCTGGATATTGTATTTTACAAAAGATATGTGAATGATGATTGCATTACTTGGAAAAACAGCAGAGAATTTGTGAGTTTGTAGAGATAGTTTAGCATGTACTTTTTTAGCAAATCTGTTGTTTTATCCAAAATAAAAAAACTGGGTTGTTTCTTATAATTTTTTTCTAAAGTTGTTTCATATACAGGCTGCACATAGCTTTTCCTTAGCATGTTTTGGTCAGGGATTAAGTGTTTAGTATAGTTTCTAGAAAGTTTTTGAATGCTGGATGATTTATCATAATTAAGAGCAATCCATGTATTAAAGCTATAGCTAGTTCACTTGAAAATTTATTCTTTTTTCTTGCATTGTTCTTTGTAGAATTTAATGATGCCAAAATAAAACTGTTCTTTTTTTCCTGTTGGAAATATGTTTTGTAAATTTAATGAAAACCATGAAGAGAGATGTTTTTCGTTCAATTTATGGTAACAACACAGTTTGTATCTCAGAATACTATCATTGGTTATAATTCCTTTATCTTTAAAACTATTTACTAATGTCTTCAGGTTTGGGTTTGTGGTATCTTTGGCATTTTTTAAACCATTAAATTGTCATGTCACTATTACATTGTTTCTCACCTTCATGAACATTGGAATTGTGAATTGTCTTTATTATTTTACATCAGAGGAAGATACTTAAATATGAAAAAACTTATTAATTACAAATTTAATTTCAGATTTTTAAATAGAAGTAGAAAAATACACAAAATACCTTATTTAAGTACAAAAGGGAAACTGATACCCCTCCAAATAATTGTACACTTAATAAAGAACCATCTTATGATACTTTGAAACAAGTCTCTTTTGTAAGTGACAAAAAAGGGGAGTAACAAAAAGATGCACCTCATCTTCCTAAATTTAATGATAAGAAATAAGTTCATGATAAGTTCATGAAAATCTATTAATGATTATTTAAAAAATCATTGAGTGTTTAAAATATATATAGTAATTTTTAATGTTTATCTGCCTAAGCAGATAGTCATCAGATCCAAGTATATCTGCTAAATCCAGGTTCTGCTTATATTTTTTAGCAATTTTTAATTTAACAAATTTTAATTTAATTTAACAAATTTATAGCTTTTCAATAGTAAATTGTTTTTAAAATTTAAAAGTAAGTTGAAGATAACAAAATTGTTGATACAGAATGTATAATTTAAAATTTAAAATTGTGAAGAAATAAAATAAAAACTAAAACATAATATAAAGCATAACAATCAAAAAATTAATCAGACACTTGACTAGTACTAGATCTCAAATGTTTTTGGAATGCAGAAGAGCTAAGATTTATATATATGTATATATAATGTGTGGATTTTTATGTAATACTGTTTAGTTCTGTTACATTATATAAACATACAATTTAAGTGAAAATACTTGTATTTTATGCATGTATAAATTTAAATATGTATAAATAAATTTTTTTAAATTTTATTATAGAAATTCCAAATTATCCTGAAGAAATTGATAATATAGTAAGTATCAACTTATATTTAATAATGATTGTTATGATAACAATTTAATTATGATACTATATTGGGTTTAGTTATTTTAATCTTATTTTGAATATGAGAGTTTAAAAAATTTAACTTAGATTTTAATAATTTTAATGTTTCTTATTAGTTCTGTTAAATTGAGTTATGTAAAGTTTGTTGTTTTAATATTAATTATGATTAACCTACGTAAAGTCAATATTAGGATGTAAATAATCACATGTTAGTTGTTTTGAATATTTGCTAGTTATAAACTTTTTGTTATCAAGTTTCAACTGTATAATGTGTTTTAAAAAATGTTAGTTGAGTCAGAAAGTCATTGTGTATTAATGTTTCTTAAGATTCAACTATTTCATCTACAGTTACAGAAATTTTTAAAATGAAGAACACAGCCAAAATTTGAATGAGGAATGCAAATGCACGCCTCAAAATTATAATTAGTATTCAAATATGCAGAATATATGATTTAAATTTAAAATGGTGACAAAAATGAAAACTAAACTTACCAGTAAAAGAAAATAGACATTTGACTGGTACTAGAGCTCAAGTTCTTTTGCAATACAGAACATGTGTGATTGTAACTAATTCAGATAAGCTGATAAAGAAGAGACTCAAAACCAGAGAATTGGACCTATATGTCTGGGTTTTGTGATAATTGCACCTGTAATAATATTTGCACCTGTAATAATGTTTGCACCTGTAAAGAAAATAATTTATAAAATACTATACAGTGGTTGATCAGTTAATGAACATAATCCATTCCAAGACTTTGTTTGCTATTCGAATTGTTCGTTAACTGATTATTGATTTACCGTAGGTTTCTATGGGAATTTGATTAATTCATTCTGGAGACCCCCAAAAATAAAAAATATATACTTTCTTACTATGTTTATTTATTTGTAATAATAAAAATACATACATACACAGTCTTGCGTTTTTATTAGTCATGTTTTTTCCATTTGAAAGGATTAAAGAATTTGTCTAATGTCGATTGCTTTTCTCTCTTCTTCAGGATTTTTCGTAAGTAGTTAATAGCATTGCAATTGTAGAAATCCCCAAGCTTCAACCTGGTTTGGATGCCATTCTAAGACTGTTGTTCTGACATCCTCTCACTTCTTCAAAGGATCTTTAATAACAGATATTGGCATTAATCCTCTTTTTCAGAAGAAAACATATCTTGCCAAGTTTCTTGGTGTTATTCATTCAAGAGTTCTTGGTGTTCTTCTGTCGTCAGATCTGTTTCAGGTTCTATCATGAGCTCTTCAATGTTCTTTATTTCTCAGATGTCATTTTTGTTACTCTTTAGCAGCTTGAGTCTTCTTTATTATTCTGTATCTTTTTTATATAAGCTTGAACTGCAGCCTACTGTAGACCTGTTCAAGCCATATTTCCCAGCAACATCAGACATCTGCTTATTCTCTACCTTTGCTATTATACTCTCAACTTTCGAAAATAAAAACCAACGCAAAACTTAACGAGTGCCCGCCCGACAGTCTCATGAATACTATAAAAGAATTGTTTCTGTCAGGAAAATAAAAGGCTGGAATTACAAGGAAGAGTTTCAAAGTTTGGAGGAATACTATCCGATCAGTATATACTGGGTTGAGTATTGATGTTGACGTCTCCCACATTCCGAAAAGTTCTGAATTGTTGCCTGAAGACAAGGGAAGACCAATCAGTATTCATTATTTTATGTTGCTTCTTCTTGTGTTTGTTCTGTAAGGTGTTCGTTGTCTTAATATAAAAATCATTTGCGAAAGTGTTTATTATCTGATTTGTTCATTAACCAATCACCCACTGTATAACATTTCTAGTTGTTGAGATGATGTGCAATTTGAAAAATAAATAAATAAATAGTATACAATTCTGTCTTTCAATCACATTTTTGTAATTTTTTAAATATTAGTTAACCTTGAAATTAATGAATATAGATATTTATTTGATTTGACTTATATTAGACTTTTATCATGTTGCATCAATATATTTGTATTATTTAGTTGGTCTCAAGTTTTCTTGTCATTATGATCATAATTAGGCTCATTTTGATAAGGCTCAGTATTGAAGATGATCAACACAAAACCTTCCTCACTTATATCTAGCCGTATATACAGGAGTACGAATGATGAAATATCCTTTTATAGATCGCTGAACTTGCATTTAAAAAATTGGAACAATGTCAAAGAGGCCGTGAACTGTATCAAACAATGTTTGAATCATAAATAAACCGATTAGAGAATAATTTATGATTATTCGATTATTAAACTTCTACCAACTGACGCTCNCATTTAAGTATTTAAGTATAGATCTAACATTTTATATTTAAAGGAGATTTCCTGATAGATCGCTGAACTTGCATTTAAAAAATTGGAACAATGTCAAAGAGGCCGTGAACTGTATCAAACAATGTTTGAATCATAAATAAACCGATTAGAGAATAATTTATGATTATTCGATTATTAAACTTCTACCAACTGACGCTCTAACAGACCACAGGATACCTGAAGAAGGCTTATTAAAAAGTCCGAAAACGTTCATACTCCTGTATATACGGCTAGAAATAAGTGAGGAAGGTTTTGTGTTGATCATCTTAAATATAGTTCTAGCTACAAGTACTCAGTATTGAACAGATCTAATTATGAATAGTGACATTATATATGTATTGGCTATAAAATAACTTATAACAAAGATTGAATTGAAATAATAAAAGAAAATCATAGTCACATTATGGTCAAAATGAGTCTTATAGTTGTGGATAATAATTGTTTTAAGAGTAATTATGACTTTATAATTACTCTTAAAACAATCACTATCTATAACTATAAGACTAGTCTGCAACATGTTCATTGCAAAAAATAGATGAACATTCTAAGAGTAATTTTTGCATTGCAAGTCCAAAGTGAATGCAAGTTTTTTTTTATCACATACATTTTTCTGTTCTACTAATTTGTATATTTTTACAAATTTTTTTTGTATGATATTTATCAGAAAAGTACTGACTTATAAAGAGGAAATTCAAGATTTCTTTATTTTGCAATATTTGATATATTTCTAGAATATAGAGAGAGATTTTTGTTATTTGAAATTGGCAGTTTCATAGTTTTATCTATGCTTTTGAATCAGCAATCTGAATATATAAAATATTGATGCTATGTATGACTAGACATTACAATATGATCTTGTCACTGGATCCAGAGAGACTAACTGACTTTAAGAAATTGGTTGATTTGAAAAAAATATTATATAACCAAATCTTGTTGCTCTTCCTAAGGTAATTCTTCTTCCTCTTTACATTAAGCTTGGGATAATGAAACAATTTATGAATGTTCTAAATGAATGTTCCACAACTGGTGCGCCATCACAAGGTGAAAAGTGTGACGTGAACTTTTATATATTCTGTTAATTTCAAGTTTTATTTATATATTTTTATCACAGTTGTTGTGTTTCTTAAGCTTGTATTTCATTCTCTGCCGCAACACTGATGAAATAAAATAATGATTGTTTCTTCTTTATTACAAGCCACGCATTTTTACATATTCTAAGAAATTATATGTAAAATAAGTTTGCTCACAGGTTTGATGTCTTTTAATAACAATAATAATAGGTTAGTGGCATTACATAATTCTATTAATAGTATCATATCATACATTTTTCAGGGGAATAACATTTTGGTGTGCAGTGTTGAATCATGGGTGTGCTGCAAGTAGAAAAAGGTTGCAGAACACTGTTCTAAATAAAGAAGGTGACTGTTTTAAACACACGTGAAAAATTTCTAGTTCTTGTAAAAGAGATGAAAGATGATATATTTAGTTTTGATGTCAAGAAATGTTTGCATGATAATATATTTGAAATTAAAATGCAATAGAAAATGCAGTATGACAAACTTTTAAACTTGATAATATAAAGTTTCATAATAATTAGAAGGATTCAAATTATACAAAAATATCAACAAAATGCTTGATGCATTTAAACACTTTTGTTGCAATATGAGTTTGAACTTCATTTCTTAAAGTTTCATCTGAATTTCTTTCTTAAAAACCTTGTATTCTTGAGTGAAGAATAAGGAAACTTCCATCAAGATTAACTTGTTATATGTGGAACTACTGTAGTTATCTTCACTTATGTTGACTTCAGTATGTCAGTTCTATTCTATTCTAAATATGAAACAGATATACTTCTGTTATTAAATCCCAAGCCAAATGCTGTCTAGATATTTGTTAAATACCGAATTCCTTGTAACTAAAGTATAAGTTGTCATCCTCAAATGATATGTAACATACAACATACAATGTAGTGTTTGTCTTGCTAACATGATTACTTGAAAGTTAATGTCTTCTGATTAAATGAACTTGAAAAGTATGTATTTGAATGTATATAAAGGTGTGGCGACACCTTTGGTCATTCGAAAGTCGCCACCAGGAGGAACTCCAAACTTAACAGACCTGGCAACTTGACTCAAAAAACTCACTTTTGGTTCGAACTTCATTCTGTATACACATGTTTTGATTCTGTGTTCAACCAGTATTATTGCACTATAGCTCATGTAACCTAAGGAATTAAAGATTAAGTTATTGAATTTTTGTTTATAGCCTGGTATTGTATTATAAGATAAATCATCGTCTCCTCAGTAATATTAATTTTAGTTAAACCAGGGCATTTTCTTTTTACAAAGTATTGTCATCTCAGCTTTTTTGTCAATCTTGATCAGAAGTGTTGGTAACATTTTCATATTTTTTATTTTTATCATAAAAAATTTTTATGGATGACAAAATAAAAATATATTATTAATCAAAAACTTGTTTTACCATGTTGCATTTGTTCAGTCGCATTTCAAGTGATTTTTCTCCAGAATTTGTATTTGAATACCGAATTATTCAAGTATCAAGATACCACTGTATTTTGTTCATCATTTTATGAATGACTGCTTACCTTCATTTAAAAATAATCTTCGGGGGGGTAATTTTTTTGACCGATTGTCATACTTTCCTAATGTTATACAGGGTGTTTATAAATGAATGGTGCAATTTTAAAAATTAATAATAAATCTATTTATTACCTTATATGGGCAAACCTTACAGCATAAGCAGTGGCAACTGTCCAAGTTTATGTACCGTCAATGCTTGTGTCCCTTGAGGATGCACTGCAAACCATCACAGAGGACATGCTACACCATGTATGGGAAGAATTTGATTATCGTGTAAATGTGTGTCGTGTGACCATGGATGCACATATTGAAGGATTGAAGGGTGCACATATTGTGATTAATGCATAAAAAACTTGGACAGTTGCCACTGCTTATGCTGTAAGGTTTGCCCATATAAGGTAAAAAATAGATTTATTATTAATTTTTAAAACCACGCCATTCATTTATAAACACCCTTTATATAACAGCCAGGAAAATAAAACGTTTAACACCTAAGTGTTTAAATAAACTTTCTTTTTATAGATTAATCTTCATATTTAGTAAAAAATATGAAGATTAGTCTATAAAAAGAAAACACAGTGACAGTCTTAAGGGCTAAAGTCTGAAAGCAACAATGACGACACCTGGTTGATAGGAAAGTGCAATTTTTTCTTCATCAGTTTTCTTCATCAGTTTCCAGTTTTCATTAAAGTAAACCTGATGAAAAGCACAAAATAATTTTAAAATTTCAATATTCTAAAATGTATGGGCAAATTTGAGACAACATACGTTTGCTTGAATAAAAAAAAATCAAATAACGAAGTTTACACTGAAAAATTGTGAAATTTTGTATGGAGGATTTCCAAAACCATGTTAGAGCAAAACCAAAAGTTGTGTTGTACAGGGAATATCCCCATTTTTCAAACCGTGTTAGAGCAAACCTATGTTGTATCAGGGATACCTGTATTTAAGTACATTTTTAAAGCATATATTTATCAGAAAGTGTGTTTTACATTTTTAAAATCAGTGAGATTTGATATAGCTTCATTATTTTTAACAGATATAAAATATGCTTAATTACTTCATTATGTTGTTTTTCTTGTAAAATATTTTTTGTTTTTTAGGGCCAGAAAACAGCGTCAAATTATGATGGTTATTCTTGTTTTGCACCAAATTTAATACGAAGAGAATCATTAAAAATTGGTATGTAATGTAATAGAATAAGAATAGTACGTTTTGTATTTTTGTGAAGTTTAACCCATTCTTGACGGCCGGCGTATAAATACGCCGTTGCGTACACCGCAATTTTTAATGTTAATGTTTAATTAAACATAAAAAAATACTTAAAACTGAAAAAAAACGAAAGAAACGCATTAATTTGGAAGAAAAAGCTTCAAACTTTATTTTCCATTGTCTCGCCTTTCTGTGAAATTTGGCACTGATGAGTCATTATTTACACAATGGATGACCTTGAACAGCTGGAGTTGGATTTCCCGGGACATTCTCATAGAAGTCTCGGGAGGTGGGTTTATAGTAGNTAACTTGGGATATCGGTTTAAAAGGGTTAAAATGTAAATAGAAAATGAATAAATAGTTCATTACCAATATTCTGATATTTTACCTAATATAAGGAGATACTTGGTATATAATATATTGGAAATACTGTATTTAATTTGCCTATAAAATTTCTGTGTGATTTTTTTCAAATTTTTCTTGTATGATGTTTTCTTAGCCCTTCTCCACCCAACTGGCTCTGCAGGTTTTAGTGCTTCAGTTTGAAAACACCCAAGGCTAATATTAGTCACTGAAGGTCACTAGACACATTATTTCATAACTTTGTAAAATATTCCATTTTTATCATATAGCTATGGAAAAAATCCTGCATACACATTTCTTTGTGTAGTTTATGATTATATAGTTTTTGTTTGTGGATGTCAAAAATTAGTTACAAAAAAAATTAGCTTATTATCACCTACTGTTTGTTTGTAATATCTTATTACACTTTGACAATAGATAAAATAATTTTTATTCATTTAACTTTTTCAATGAGCTAGCTTGAAGTAAAAGTTTGTCCTGTACATTTTGATATATATTGACATATTTAATGAGGAGCAATTCTTATTTATATCAAAATATTCATGTTTATGTTTTTCACGTCTTTATATAATTTTTCACATTTTTATGTAATTTTACTTGTCTACAATTAACTGAAACTTCAATAGTTATCAAAATCCTATTAAAAAGTATCCATTGTTTTGTATAAAAAGTTTTCATGTTTATATAATCTATATAATAAATCTGTTCTCTGTAATATATCTATATAATTTGAAGCAATTATGTAAGGAAATATTTAATTTATTATTAAAATAAGGAAAAGGTTATATAAAAGTTATTACTGATTACAAAGATAATTTTGATTTGATTAGTAGATAACTTACACAAATATTTAATGATACTACAGAGTAAATGAAATGGCAATACATAAATACTTTTGTAGTTTTTGTTTAAACACAGAAGTTAATCTAAACTATTGAGTAATAGATCATATTTGTTGGAACCATGAATACATTGAATACTATATAAAATAAATCTACAAATAAATATATAATGCAGTAGTTTTAAAAAATAAATATTTATGAAAAAGTAAATGATGTGTGTTTATCTTGCAGTCCTGTGATAACGATCCAGATGAATTGTTTTCTAATATTTAAGCAGTCTTTTTGAGAATACTAAAGTTGATATAACTAATTTTAAAATGCATTTAAAGATATCATATTATTCTAATGTCTAGTATTAGAATAATAATGAAACTTTTATAATGTTTTATAGTCTTTTTCTGTTAAATTTCTGCAAGTTGCTTCTTATAAATTAACTGAAAAACTAAATCATTGACTATTTTACAAAATCAGTGTTTCAGTATTATTATTATTATTGTTATTGTTGTTGTTTTTGTTTTTTAATTGAAAGAGCAGAAGTTATCACTTGATATTAAAATTTTTGGATAAAATTGATTCATTGTGTTAGTAAAAATAATTAATTAGTGCATTAATTTGTTAAAGATAAGTCAGTATTTAATATATTTTTTATTTAACTATTTTTAAAATTAATTCAGCTCTAAATCACGGTCTGAATTACTTCACAGCCAATATTCTAAGCAGTAAATTAATATCAGAGGTGTTAAAATACATAATTTGTACATAACTGTATTTTATTTCAAGTCATTTATTGTACTGATTGTAAATAGATCAGTGCATTCAAATTGTGGTTGTGATTATCACAGAAAACGCATTTAAGGAATGCAACATTCGTATGTGCAATTGTTTTTCTTTCAATAACAACCATTCAGCTTGTTATATTCAGTCATATTTGTAATATTACAGTATAATTACTATTAGCTTTTAAAAATTTCTTAAAATACATTATACTGAATGATTTCTAAACTAGAAATGCTAAATATGATACTGTTTTATTCTTAAATGATAAATATCTATAACATCAAATTTTTATAGATTTTTGAAAAATATATGTACTGTTCTTTATATAAAATTTTTAAATTGATGATATGCTATAAATATAAGTTTCAAGATTTAGAAATGGTTCTAGCTACATATGCATAGTAGTGAAAAGTAATGGAATTGGTCAATGAAAATTTTTATTAAAAAACAGATATTTATTAAAGTATTATTGGTTTTAAATAAGCATCTACTGGGTATGAAAGGTAAGAATTGAAAAAGTGATAATTTTATTTTATTAGAAATGTNATGCATATTCTATATAGAACTACCATCAAAGTTAGGAATTTTTTATTAAAATTAAACAAATTTGAAAGTGATGAATTTTCATCATGTTGGAATTATCAATTTATCACATGATGAAATGCCTTCAAGTGGGAGGGGAAGGGTTAAATATGCATAATAGATTTTTGTCTGTATTATGTTTTGTTAGAATTGAAAATTCAGTTTTTATAAATGTTGTTGGACTTAAATTATATCAAAATATTAGAATTATACTTAATGACATATTAAAGGATTAACAATATAACATTCAGATATTATGCTACTATTTGTAATATAATATTATGAGATATTCATTAAATATTGCTTGTAATTGACATTATCAAACTAACATTAGCTGTAAACCATTATTCTGTGAAAAATAGAAATTATCACCATTTGAAAACCATCATCTTTCCAAATGCCTTATATATTACTTTGGATCAAAATATTTTTAGTCATTGAAAATGTGAGGAAATTTTCCTCACCTTTTTAAGAAAATAAATGATTTAAATGGTGTAAATGTAAGTGATGATTCTTAGAACTTTGTTTTTTTAATTTGCTGTTAATCTATACTGTATAAAGTCTTTTTAAAAAATAGTTCATGGAAACAAATGTGAACCACAATGAAATTAAAAAATTAATAGCTAAATTTCAACAAAAAATTGTACTATAAATAATAAATATACCAAATAACCCAAATCTGCTTTTTTTCACAGCTGTAAAAATAAATATTGTTTTAATAACAGCTTAAAATAAGGAAGGTTTTCACTAAATATGAAAACTATGGCAGTGATCACAAAGTGGCAATGTTCAGCAGGTTACTATTGGCTGTGAATTAGCAAAATCTTGGTTCTATTTGAAATACAGTATTTATTCTCTGCAATATACTGTTTAGTTTGTATATTTTATTACAGGGTTTCCTATAAGTTTAGAACCATAGGAGAAAAACATATAGAATTTTCAAATGTGTTTAAAGTGACTACAAATGTGTTGTATTGTATACACAGATGAAAACTATAATTCCTATCTATTAACACTCTTTTTACCATATCTATCAGAATTTGCTGGCATGCTTCTACAATATGTTGTTTAAGATGGAAAATGCTCTGGGTTTTCATCTTGCATAGTATTCCATGGATTTAAAATAGTTCCATAAATAAAAATTGAGGAAAGTAAGATTTGGGTTCCTGGGTGACTAATTGACGTATCTTCAGCATTTAATTCACTGTTTAGAAAATTTCTCATTAAGATGATGATGCACTGTCAAGATGTAATATGTAGGCAACCATCATTTTGAAACCATACAGAATTTTTGCCCATCTGGTTCAATAGGATTGGAAATGCTTCCTGTTGCAATAACTTGAAGTATTTTCATCTGTTACATTGTCAATCCCTTTTTTGATGTAATTTTGTGCTCTGTGAGCCACACCACATCATGACATCCTGCTTCTTGAATGATCTAACCATTGAGGATTTGTTGGGAATCAATATCAAGAATTTTGACACTTGACTTTGACAGAAATGTGGAAATTTACTTAGAGAGAAGGATTTATGATGGAAACAGCATTGTATCTGCATTCTTCTGCTGCTTATTTGCAGAAATGAATGTGCTTGTCCATGTTGTCGTTGCTTAAATGCTGGAGATGCAGTTTATATGAGTACCAGTAAGTCTTAAGATTTGGTGAATGATGTTCTTGGAAATCCCATTTTTATAGAATGTGTTGAAATGACTTTTTGGGACTGATCACAAATCAAGCCAAAACACTGGATCAACTCTGTCAATTACATAGCTATTTCTTTAAATTTGATTATCAGCTTTCCAACACAACTGTGTGTGTTAGGGCAATTTCATGTAGTCTGTTAAATTTGAAGTGACTTCATTTTAACTGTGGTTCTCCACCATCAAAACAACTTGAATTTGTTCCCCTCTGTTGGTGCCATGTTTTACCTGTAAAAGAATAAAGAAAGCTCAACACTAACTTCTATGGTTTCAGATTTATGGAACACCCTGCATTGCAATTGAATCAATTATTGAAAAAGAGGATAATCAACAATTTTGAAGTAATGCTTGTTTTGAGCATTTAAGTATTTAAGTATAGATCTAACATTTTATATTGAAAGGAGATTTCCTGAGAACATCATGGGAAGAATCAATCTTCTTTCAACATAAAAATGATCAATGTCCAATTAATTAATTAACAACCATTATTTCAAAATTGTCACTTATCTCTTCTTTCAATAATTGATTCATTTGTATTGTAAACTTCAGACTTTCTTCTGACTTTTAAGTGTTGTTTTTAAACTTTTATTTGATATTTGATTTAGGCTTGCCAATAGGAGAAGGAGAGTTTGGTTCTGTTTTGAAAGGAAAATGGACAAATTTTAATAATGTTCAAGTAAATATGCATAATTATTTTAATTTAATATGCAATAAATTTATAATTTTTGTAACTTTAGTCATATATATTTATACAGTTTATAATAAAGTACATAAGTGGAATAATAAATGATAATGCTGGATTAACTTGCTGGTTAGAACTTTGACTAATCATGGTAATATGATAATACTGTGTAATTTGGATTATCTCTTATAGCAAATTCTCACTTAACGTTGGCAATATGCTTTTGAAAATGGAAATGTTAATCAAAATGACATATAATGAAACCAATTTTACCTTAGGCTAAATGATCTAAACAAGAGTTAAGTTTCTTATTGAATCATGTTTGCAACCTCTATCATTTAATTTACACATCATAAAATCAGTTTTACTATTTATAAAGAAAATTCAACAACAATTGTAAATGATTACAAATGTTATTGTCTCTTTCCTCAATACTGTTAAACAAAATAACATTAAATGAAAATTTGCTGTGTTATATAATAATTATTATATTCAAAGATCTAGCTTAAAAGTTAATCCAATATTTTTATTTGCCTACTAGAATTTGGGCTTGTTGTCTGTATGTTTGCATAATTAGAATGTCTGTGTATATAATTATGCTTTAATTATAATTTCTCATTTTCAGATGATAAAATATATTGTCTGTTACATAATATGCAATTCTCTTAAACCAGATAAGCACATTGTTAATTACATTATCCAGACCACAGGAATTATCTCATTTACAAAATGAAAAATCATATACTACGTGTTCTGTGAATTTTGATATTTATATTTAATAAATAAATCTTGCCTGAAGGCATACTGAAAGTTATTCAACAGTTTCTGTTTATAGTGTTTATCTAAAATATAGAGTAGATTTCTTATGATATAGAATTAACCTTCAGAATATATAGAATATTTTAAATTAAACAAATAACTGTCATTGGATTATTTGCAGGCTATAATATAGGTAGTTATATTATAGCCTGCAAATATTGCTGGGTATTGCTGGATATAATTGACTATTGCTGGATATTATAAAATGGCTATTGCTGGATGATCATCCAGCAATAGTCATTTGGTTAATTGAGTTATTTTGAATATATTTACAAACAGATGAAAGAGTAATAAAAACCTTTAGTTCAATATAACAGAAAATATATATAAGCAACAATAGAATTTATAATAAATAAATACTTTCCTAATGGAACTACAATAAGTACAAAACAAAACCTTTAAACAATTCAGCAAATCTTTTTTTTAATATCTTAAAAACACTTTCGAACACTTTCAAAATTTGAATGCTTTCTTTCAATTCAAAATGGTAACTGTGGATGATCGCTTAAAGCATTCGAAAGCATTTTTAAGATATTAAAAAAACGATTTGCTGGATTGTTTAAAGGTTTTGTTTTTTACTAATAGAATTTATTTATTGTTATATAGTTGGGTATACAAGTTATGACCTAAATTTATAGTTGTGTGAAATATTGTATGGTTTTAGTATTAAAATTCTTTCTTATCTTCTATCTTTTTACTTTCTCAGCTGTTATATATAACAGAGAGAAAGTATGACAGTCAAAAAATGATTCTCCCAAGATTGTTACATTTTTAACATAATTCCTAAAATTAGTAAGTGATATATCAAAATTTTACATAATTAAATGTATAAATTATATGATTTACTGTTAACTGGTTAAGACTAGATCATTTTTAATAATTTCATGGGAATGTAACAATATAAATTTGCATTGAATGCATTTGAAAACAAAAATTGAATCACTTTATACAAATATGAATTATAAAATTTGATAACTTGACGTCAATTCAATAAATTTCATGGTAATGGTATTTAGATAATTGGAACTACAGAAGACATAAGAACAATATTATTATTATTTTATTACTTAGAATCTTTTTCTTCATAATAAACTTTTTGTTCAATGTATTTTTTAAATTTTATTAAAATAGTTTAAATAAATTAATACATGTTAATTTCTTATATTGATATATCTTATTTTTAAATAGTTTATTTTTCTGATACAACAGCTTAATGTTAGTTCATCTGATTTTTCATTTCTTGATGTGAAATTATTTTAGCTGTGTCATTTATTCTACTGTTGCATGCTTCTAAGAATATTTAATTTTTCATTATGTTTGCTTTTAAATATTTTACTTAAAAAAATCATATATGAATTTTAATTGTTTTTTGTTAAAATTATAATATCAGTGTCAGTTATAATAATAATCTTGTGATTGTGAACATTATGAATATGTTCTCCTATTCTGAAAGTCAATAAAAAAAATAAAGTTTTATAAAATAACTTGTTGTATCATATTTCAATTTTATAGGTAGATGTTGCTATCAAAACACTAAGGGATGAACAACTTCAAAGTGGACGAGAAGAGTTTATTCGTGAAGTAGAAGTAATGGTTGGACTTGACCATCCATGTATTGTGCGATTATTGGGAGTATGTTTAGGTCCACCACTCATGATGGTTTGTTATTGAAAACTCTTTTTAATGGAATTTTATAATGTTTTTTATTGAAACATTTTTTATTAAGTTGTAATATTTTTAGGTTCAAGAACTGATACCCATGGGTTCAGTACTAGATTATTTACTTGATTATCCAAATGAAGTTGAGGTAGATTATGATTTGAAATTATGGGCTGCTCAAATTGCACATGGTATGATGTATCTTGAAAGTAAAAGATTTGTTCATAGAGATTTAGCTGCCAGGAACATACTTTTAGCAACAAAACAACAGGTAAATATAAAGAATTTTTTTAAGAAATATAAAATAGTTTAAAAAGAGGAGAGAGAACTAAAAAGAAACTTTATATTCATAATAAATTACCAAATTATTTTCAATAGTAATAAAACAGGTTGTGTAAGTGCAAAATGCTGATGGCAGTCATGTTTAACATGACTGCCATTAACATTTTGCATCTACATACCCTGGAGATTTTGATTATTTGCTCTTTTTAAATTTTTGTATTTTTATGTATAATTGGTAGTAGTAATTAATATTTAGCAAAAAAATATCAATACAAATTCTCTTAGGAGGCATCAGAAGTAGCTTTTTTTTTTTTTTTTTTTTTTTTTATGCCTACAAGATAATTTGGGTAAAATAAAATACTATAATGCAAATAACTATTTTTTAAAAATATTTTTCAATAATATTGATTTAATTATAATTATTAAATTTAATAAGAAATGGTGCCTAATACCTTCCTCCAGTGACAAATTATTTAGTAATTAATTAAATATAATTGTGGAAAAATCGCCCAAAGTAATCTAGTGGTTGTTTGGCATTACAAATTTATTGGGTTTTATGAGGTTTGTTTATGTATGTTTTTCAATATTTCTTCAAAAACTTTTCCTTTTATGACACAAAATTGATCTGTCATTTATATTCAAGGCACATATTAACCTCTTTTGTAGTTTATTTACTACAATAATATCCTTATCTGGAATCTATAAACAGGAAAATTGTATTTTATTTTGAACTTCTTTATACTTTGTTCTGTAATGCCCTATTGATGTGTCATGCTTATTCCTGATGCCCACTAATCAGTTATAATAAATACTTACTACAAGAAAAATTGCATGAGGCAAAACCAGCCAGACAACATTATATGAGTTTTCTCAAGACGGGGCCAGTGAATAGGTTGCCAACTTTGAGATAATTCATAATGGGTGGTCATCATTGTTAATCATTACTTCTCTCCTGATTGATAAAAAGAAATTTACAAAAATTTTAAAAAAGTGATATTATAATTAAATTCCATTTCAGCTTTAGATATTGTCAATAAGGTTTAAAATTAAGAAAATTTTGTGTATTATTTTTCTTCTTTTTTATGGATCAAGTTGTTAAATAGTTAAAATTTAGGCTGTTATCCTAAGGTTGCAATCTACTAATTGTATTAGAGCAATAGAATCTACCAAATGCAATAAAGATGCCAAAATCATTTCTTTTTATATTAAAAGAATTTTAGGATAAAAGTTTAAGTTTTAATTTTAGAATTTTCAAAGAGATAATTAGAAAATTTTTTATCAGTTACAGAAGATGAAGTTTTCTATTACGTATTATTATACCTTTCATTAATCAAATTAATCAAAAATCAGCAATGAATTGCATAACTTTCCTGACAAGAAAGTTAAAATTGTGTGTGATACCATCTGTGATTTTATTAAAAACTTTTTATGTTGTTAATTACAGTAGAGCATTGATTATCTGACTCAATTGGGGACTGGGTTTGATCAGATAACTGAAAAAACGGATAACCGAAAAATATGAAAAAATACATTATTAGTATAGTATATTAGTATATCCCATGTAATTAGTATATTAGTATATTGCTATTAACCTACTTTGCGTTGAATTTTCATCAATGTTAAGCCTAAAAAAAAATTTTTTTAAATAATAATCGTCGCTACTGTATAGTTAAAAATTAGAAAGTTAAGCCTCGTTTAAATCCTGGCCCCCTTTCATGGCCGAGCCAGTGTTGCCAGCTAAAACATGTAAATATAATATTAAAGTAGCCAAGACATAGACAAATATTGTAGCGCCACATCACTAGCGGACATTTGAATTTGCTGACTAGAACGGTCAGTTAACCGATGTGACAGTTTATCGGGGGTCAGATAATCGATGCTCTACTGTATTTCAAACGGCAAATAGCTTAATTTAGAGGGTAGATATAAGTTTTATAAAAAAATTGTAAATGCTAATAATGAGTAAAATCATCAAGTCTGATACTACATGATATATGCTACATGAGATATGCTACTTTCCTCTATCTCCTTGTCACATCAAATTGACTTTTAATCACCAAAATTTAATAGTAAAAATCTCCTTATATGAATAATATACCTCAGGCCAAATTCATACATATGCCTATTTACTTGGTTGCATGTTTTGCCACAATCTGTCATAATACATTGGTGTTTATTCATAATTCATGGATGCCAATTATTATTTTAATAAAGTATTGAGTAAATTTATACNAAAACAGATATTTATTAAAGTATTATTGGTTTTAAATAAGCATCTACTGGGTATGAAAGGTAAGAATTGAAAAAGTGATAATTTTATTTTATTAGAAATGTGATTTAATATTTTATATTGATTTTATTACATTTCAAATTATTAATAGCTTGAGAAATTTTTTTCAAAAATGTTTTTGAAGTTATACAGTGCTGGAAGTAATTATAAAGTTATTTTTTTTTTTTTTTCTTGCTGTAAGACAAACACTTGATATGATGTGGATTTTAATGTTTGTAGTTATGTTTAACAGTTATTCATGAGATACAACAGAAAAGAGAGGTAAGATCTTTATTTTATCTAATTTATGAAAAGGATTGTTACCATGACAGAACCAGTTGAAATAAATATAAAGCCACCTAACAATATTTAATGATATAAAATTTTATTTTGAAATTTAATGTTTTGTGTTAGATCCATTATTTTTTATTATTAGTTTTTAATCTGTCTTTCATAGACAGAAAAAAGTTGTTGCAGCATTTTTTTGGGCATTTCATTCCATTCCTTTCAAATGGATTGTTTGAGATTTTTAATGGTGTTATATTGTTTGCCATTATTATATACTCATTGAGATAGTCTGATCAAGAATTTTTGGCTATTCTAAGGTCTGAACTTCAAGCTGGACATTAGAGTTCAAGAAAATTTCTTGTTAAGTCAATGTGTTTTATAAGTAGACATATGTATTGCAGCATTATCTTGCTGAAATATGAAATCTTTAACAATACTTTCAACATAGTGGAGAGAACAGTCTTTAAGTATCTGTGTATATCTGAGAGTTCATACGGGTTCTGCTTGATAGTACCTGATTTTAATTTACCATAAAAAATGAATGGCTTAAGATATATAAAAGCAACAAGTGGTATCTGGTAGGAAAACATATCAAGTTTATAGATTTTTTTTACTGCAAGATGGCACAGAAGATGAATCATGAGCATTATTGTCCAATCATGGCTTCCTTCACCACAGAAAAAGTGCAGATTGTGATTTAGTATGGCCAACAGAGTGACCACCAAGATCTCCTGATCTGATCCTTGTAGATTTATTTCTGTGGGATTATGTGAAAGATATGTTTATGCAACTTTGGTCAGTGACCTTCTGGATCTTCAGAAGTGTATCATTGTAGCTATTGACACTGTAAGATAAAACATACTGCAGCATATGTAGCAGGAAATTGCCTACTGTCTTGATGATGTCACTATAACTGCTGGAGCACACACAGAGATGTGGTGATTTTTCCAATGAAATTTGTTGAACTTATATCTTTTAATTGTTAATTTTTTATAGCCAAATCAAATTGGGTACTTTTGGGCAGAACACTATATGTACCAAGGGTAATTTTCCAGTGGAGTGCTTTTCTTTTCATATCATCATTGTACTGCCACCAAAATTGCAGCTCATAAATGACACAAACAATGCCAGTAATATTGATACACATCTGGACCATCTAAATTAAACTTTTTTCATCAGTAAACAATGTTTACTTGCTCTCTTCATCAAAAATAATATACTTTTGAATAAAATTTACTCTTGCACTTTTGTGTTATTTGGTAAGTCTTGATTTCATCACATATTTTGTCCAACAAGTATTATCATTTAATTTATGTCTCTGTGTCCTTATTATACAGTTTAGTATGTCACCAGTATAATAAGTCCTAGTAGACATTTTACATACTAAAGTATTATCATTTCACTGCAAAATTTTATGCACACATCTAGGCAATACTTACAATTTTAAATCAGCCAAAATTTGAGCCAAAAGGTTATATTCTTCTGTAACATTTTTAAAATATATTGTTTGTCCCATTCTATAACAATTGGTTTTCTTCTAGATAATTTCATTTCATTATAAGTCTCACCCTTGTTTATATAATTATCAGTTACTGACCTGGAACAATTAAACTTTTTGGGCAATTTGTTGAATAGATTATCTGCTATCTCAGTAAACCTTTATTTGAAATTTTTTCTTATTATTTAAACTTTTACCATGTGGCATTGTACTAACTTTTGAAAGAGATCTTTAAAAGCTATGTAGAATAGTGTTGAATACTGGAAAGCCAAGCTTGCTTATACAGACATAACAGTAAACACTAGGTGTCAACTGGCTTTACAATTATTACCATCCTTTTATGCTGTATTTTACTAAAACACAATCTTCAACAAATAATTTTGAAAAATTGTTAGTGATATTTGCTTTTTATAGATGATAGGACAGTTATTTGCTTTATTACTAAAGTAAAATCATTAATCATTATTTCTTTAACATATGTAAATCTTTGTACATGGCTTTATAATTATTTCCAACAGTGTAGTAGTCAGGTAATTTAATTTTTTAATTTTATTTATATATATTACTAGTTTAATAGTTCTGAAAATGGAATTAAAACTTAATTAAAATTTTTATGAAATTTCATAATTATAGACAGAACAAAATACTTTAATTTGAAATCATTACATTTTCTGATAGATAGCCAAACAGTCACCTTAAATACTTGGGCTATAAATCTGCTATTTTTAATAATTAATACTAAATAATCAATAATTTGCTACTAGATGTAGACATTAGGTGCCATCTCTTAACTAAGTTAAGAATTATAATAATTCTTAATTATTTAATAAAATATTTGAATTATAATTATTAACTTATATAAGAGATGATGCCTAACATCTACCTCTAATAGCAAATTACTTAGCATTAATTACTAAAAAATAGCAAATTTATAACCTGAGTATTTAAGGCAATCGTTTGGCTATGTATCTATATCC